AAAGTTCTGAACAAAAAATGTATGGTGCACTTTTTGATTGGTCCAGCGGATGCTGAGCTACACTCAAAATAATTTTTGAAAAAATTTCGAAAAATTTAATTCGCGAGATAATCGCTCCGGAATACAACCAAAGTAGTTAGAAGAAAGTTCTGAACAAAAAATGTATGGCGCACTTTTTGATTGGTCCAGCGGATGCTGAGCTACACTAGAAAACATATTTGGAAAAAATTTCGAAAAATTAAATTTGCGAGATAAACTTTCCGGAATACCACCAATAAAATAGGGAAAAAGTTTCGAACAAAAAATGTATGGCGCACTTTTAGATTGGTCCAGCGGATGCTGAGCTACACTCAAATAAATTTATGAAAAATTTTCGAAAAATTAAATTTTCTAAATAATCGTTCGGGAATACGGCCAAAGTCTTTAGCAAAAAGTAGCGAACAAAAAATGTATGGCGCACTTTTTGATGGGTCCAGCGGATGCTGAGCTAAACTAGAAAACAAAATTGGAAAAAATGCCGAAAAAATAAATTCACGAGATTAACGTTCGGGAATACAGTCAAAGTGATTAGAAGAAAGTTTTGAACAAAAAATGTATGGCGCACTTTTTGATTGGTCCAGCGGATGCTGAGCTACACTAGAAAACAAATTTGGAAAAAATTTCGAAAAATTAAATTTGCGAGATAAACTTTCCGGAATACCACCAATAAAATAGGGAAAAAGTTTCGAACAAAAAATGTATGGCGCACTTTTAGATTGGTCCAGCGGATGCTGAGCTACACTCAAATAAATTTATGAAAAATTTTCGAAAAATTAAATTTTCTAAATAATCGTTCGGGAATACGGCCAAAGTCTTTAGCAAAAAGTAGCGAACAAAAAATGTATGGCGCACTTTTTGATGGGTCCAGCGGATGCTGAGCTAAACTAGAAAACAAAATTGGAAAAAATGCCGAAAAAATAAATTCACGAGATTAACGTTCGGGAATACTGTCAAAGTGATTAGAAGAAAGTTCTGAACAAAAAATGTATGGCGCACTTTTTGATTGGTCCAGCGGATGCTGAGCTAAACTAGAAAACAAATTCGGAAAAAATACCCAAAAAATAAATTCGCGAGATAATAATCGTTCGGGAATACCGACAAAAAAATGAGCAAAAAATCTCGAACAAAAAATGTATGGCGCACTTTTTGATTGGTTCAGCGGATGCTGAGCTACACTCAAAAATATTTTGGAAAAATTTTCGAACAAAGAATGTACCTTATATCTATACATAAGCTCAATTTTTGAAAAAACTTCTTAGACTTAAAAATTTTTTTTTTCATCACGGATAAATTCTAAAAAACAGTTCTTATTTTTACTATATAGTAATTAATAATGATGTCTATTGTCATTTCGTTTTGACAACTAAACTTTTTCGGTAAACAGATTATATAAATTGTGCGTCAAAGCAAAAATTCAACAAGTTAATTCCGGTCCAATTCGGATGTCACTATATGTTGCTAGTATACACAGGTATTCAAAAATCCTAATCTTGTTATAGTCGAAGTTAGTGTGTTCAAAATGAAACAAAAAAGTGTTTAACCAACTGACTTGATCTGATGTGCTTATAGGAAAAATATATGCGCGCCGGCGCGGAAAAGTTCTTTAAATATTTTGAGATCCAACCAGGAAAACTTACGCCGGATGATCCTGTGAGATATTGCGAACGAGAATTGAGGAAAAGAGAGTGAGAGAGAGAGAGGGAGGGCGATCGCCAGGAGCTAAATCCTTTAAGGTTGACGCGAATGTGACAACAGCAAGTAGGCGGTCCAGCTTAAGCGATTTGGACAGCAGGTTTCGGATTACCTTTTTGGATGCTGGGGCACCTTTTTTTCACGACAATATTCGCATTTATTTTCTCGTCCACCGAGATTAGCGTCGATTCTCTGTCAAAATTGTGTCCATTGTATTTGACACTGACGACGATGATTTGAAAATAATTTCGTGTCCTGCCTACAATATATATATATATATATATAAATGTATGAGGGTTACTAGGTCTTAGGGTTATTTGGAAAACTTGCAACTAAACCTCTCTATTTTCTGTTGGTACATATATTGAAATACTTTGTATCGAAAATAATTAGGAAAACTTCTCTAATTAATAACGGAAATAAATATGCTTATTCATTCAGAATTTTGTAATAATTTTTCTTTTTTCGGCACAAGTGGCTCAAAAGATTACAATTGAAAAATTTTCAACTCTTTTTGATGAATTCATTGTGGTGTCGCGCGAGAGCCGTTTAAAAGACGACGATGACAACGACGGCATAAAAATCGAACAATCTGTAGCGAAAGCGTGAAAATCTTCGGTGACCGGGTGGTGGGTACACATAGATGAAAAGGAGAGTTGTTCACTCATCGATCAACTGATTCTCTGTCTTTATTCTGTCCCATGGTTGGAACAGCGTACAAATATGATTTAAGCGTGCAGACCATGCGCTATTTGTTCACGAGCCTTTCAAATAGCATTTACATCGGCATAGTGTGAGGATATATATACTATAAGGAGTCGTAGCTAAATCGTTTTCAACCCCCCGATAAAAGATCCTCGGCAATGCAACGTAGTGGCGCGTTTTCAATCCTTAACGAACCACATCCAAAGTTCTTCTATGTATGCGTGTAATAATTCATATATAAAGAAACCTACCGCATCTAATCTATTTCCTTTATCAAAAAAACAGGAAAGTACAAACACATTTATACATGTACGTGTAGAAAAAAAAATGAAAAGGTGAATACGTGTGTTATAAAAAAAACACACACACATGTTGAAAAAGTATAAAAATGCACACGTAGCATGTATACCGTTTGTCCCTTGTTTGTTGCTTTAGTTAAGCTATTTAAGACGCTCTCTCTGTTAGGATTAGTAGAGGCGATCAGTTGCGGCAGGTGACGTGAATTCGGCATTCCTTATTAAGCCGTAGAACCTTGGTATAAGATAGTGCGAGACAATCCGTTTGATTCGCTTACTTTGCACACGTAGAGGCATGTAACTAGCACCCTAAATATATATATGAGATCGACGTTTTCGAAAACCTGTTTCCAAATTTCATTCTGTTTATATAATTGTACATGACGATAACGAATTAATTTCTCGTTTCGTTTTATTTAATAATACATATCTAAATCAGGGTGAAAATTGTATCACTATTTAAAAAGTAGAAGTCAATAAAAAGATATAAAATTATCTTAAAGTGGAATAAAGAAATTAAATTTTCAATTACAATAATTTTAAAAATCATTTGCATTTAATAAATTAAAAAGCAAATTTAAAATTCTTTAAATTGTTTTTAATTTTTACCTAAAGATATTTACGTAGAGCTTATACGATTTTCTGTGTTGAAAAGAGAAGAGAAGATAATCGAGATCTTGGAAGACCCCCTGGGAAGGAAGTGCAAGTTTCTCTCGGTTGACTTAAGCTCTGGATAAGCCGCGAAGCTGACACTAACCCCGTTAACCCAGTAACGCAGGAGCTTCTGACTTTTTAAACCATTTATTTACCGCATCTATAAGCACAGCATCGCGAGCCAAAAGATATACATACTTTTAAAAAGAAGACCAAAAACCCTTTTCGTCTCAGTTCTTTCATCTTCTATTTATAAATCTTTGACTTTTGATGACTTCTTTCTACTTTACAGTTACACTTTGACACTTCGTCAATATATAATCTTTTTAACACACACAGTTAAAAGCGAGTTTTTCTTTTTAAAATAATTTCTTTGCATAAAATTCATATTAATTTAATGTGGCTAATACAAAAATGAAGTAATAAATTCAACAAAATTTGCAACGAACAAAGTCTCAGTCTGCGATTTAATAATAAAGTATACACTCTAAATCTGAATCAGTGAAAATTTCATTGAATTCAAATCAGTGGCTTAGTTTTCTTTAATTCATCAGTGGAATTTCACTGACAATCAGTGGTTTTTACTGATTCTCAGTGAAATTCCACTGGTGAATTAAAGAAAACTGAGCCATTGATTTTAATTCAGTGAAATTTTCACTGATTCAGATTTAGAGTGTAAAAAAGATTGGATTAAATTTTTTAAATTGTTTATCAACAGCAGTGGGTATCTACATTTCCTACAGATACAGTACAACAACAACAACAGATACAGTTATAACAAAGAAAGAAGAAAGGTGACAAAGAAAGAAGAACTAATAATCAACTATAAATATGCTCCATTCAACTTTTCTCCTTTCCAAAAATCATTCCCTCTCTTTCACCTCTATTAAGAAAAACCTTCGTCATCGGAATTTACAAATGACACAATGAATAAAATGAAAAAAACAATCTATGAAATCTGGGTTTGATGGACCACGGAGGTAGGTTTCTACATGTACATAAACCTATATATATATATATATATATATAAATGTTCCACCCATTTTTTTGAAACCGTTTCTAGCTTTTGATCTTTTATGTACACGAGCCAATATATACTAATACGAGTGTGTGGTACCCGCTGGATTTTTTTTTGAATCCAAAATCGTTGTCCTGCGAGTCAAATTTCGTCACAGTCCGCTTCCTCCCTGAAACTAGATTGGTAACGGCCCGGTGTGTTCCTCGCTCGCGACTTCGTCCTATTTACCGATTATTAGCCGTGTCCTCCTGTAACCAGGAATCCTAGACGCGCTATCGGCCCGGTGTTGCGTTTCTCCCGGGGTATTTCATCAGAAACGTACAATAATAAAAAAAAAAAAAATCTTTCAAATTCAAGACATTTTTTTTTCACGCTCAAAAAAATGTCATATAAAATATATTCCCATTTTAAAATCGAAAAAAAAAGAAAAATCAGATATGACTTATATAATTGATAAAAACTAATTAAATTTTATAAAAATATTTTTATAATCTATTTTTATAATCTATTTTTAAAAAATCAAGATCGAAGAAAATTAACTAAATTACTTATTATCTTTTTCTAACAGGGAAGGGGTTAAATAAAAAATGACTCACCGATTGATAAATATCCCACGTCGATAGGTCGCATTGTCTTTTCCGGAACATCTCTTTTCCAAAGATCTCCATAACTTCCAGTTATATGTCTCCATTAACTGAAAAATAAAACATTAAAATTAATTATTAATAAATAAAGCAACAGTTTAATTTTAAAATATTTGGTTAATTACAAAATTTTTCTTGTAATAAAAAAAAGAATTTAAAATATCCAACGTTTAAAAATTACAATTTTCAAATTTTGAGAAAAACTTTTGAAATACGTTCCTGTATACATATAATAATATATTTCACTGCCGCAGCTGAGAGGAACCAAGCCGTTGCGAATCTATTGAAGAATCATATTGAAAAAAAGACCGCTGATGGTAATTTTGAATGGAGGGAAAAATCTTGAATTTCTGACACTCTCACTACAATTTCCTGCGCGCGTCTCATGAGATCGTTATACAATCAAGAAGACATGATCGAAGATTATTACTATCCAGGGAATTAAAAAAATTTAACATTGCAATTTTCACTCGACGACACACACAAGTACCAATAACCTTGTGTCCTTAGGGAGGATAAAATTCAAAAATGAGAAGTATAAGGATCTTCATAATAGTCAAAGACGAAAATGACTTGAAAAAATTTTATTAAGCAAATCGAATTTTACTTATAATTAAACAGATCCTACTTTCAGTTATTAATCAAAATCAAATAAAAATTTAAATAGATTATTAAAAATTAAATTATTTTCCTCTCTACTAAATAAAGGGAAAAAAAATATTCTGCGCAGACTCTTCTATATCAATAAGATAATGAAATAAAATTCGCATAAACAATAAAAATGTATGTACTTTGGGAATTTCCGTCTTATATATGAACTTGAGAAATAAACGAAGAACGTTTTCATATATAATTGCCAGAAAGATATGTGGTCCATTGTTTAGAGGTTGAAGGTATCGGCTCATGAATTCAGCAACGTTACGAGTTGCTAGCTGCGTAATACATTTCACGGTTTACGCTCTTTGCACTTAAATGCATTTGCTCTTTTCAAAGCGTCGGCATCTTTTGTTCCTAGTTACGTTTCGCTCGATTCATGATTGCTTTCAAATAATTGATTATTGTCCGCATCTTTTTATTTTCACAATATTATTTTATCGCACGTGTGCACCTACGCATTTTTAGAAAAATAATAATTTAAATTAACCTCGTGATACTATTTTCAGTTTTTTCATTAAAAAATTTAAAAATCAGTGACAATTATTATCTTGCGTTTGCAAAATAAAATTTAACAAAGGCCGACATTAAAAATGTTAAAACTTAAAATAAGATTCTCATATGCGGATGAAAATATCTTAATTTGTATCTCATTTTTGTCATAAAAATGGAGAACTCTTCTTTCAGTGCGGGAGTGAAACGCATGGGATATTTTGTTATTTATTATTATCGCTTGCAAGGTTACGGGTCACAGTTACTGTGTATCAATAACCAAGGTTGTCATCGTCACTTCTCAGCAAACTTTCCGACAAAAATGACCTCTCTTCGTTCTCTCACACCGTCTTCAACACAACTCATCTCTAAAACGCGCGTTTCAATTCTTTCGCAAGATATTAATGTCAGGTCATCTCATTCGAAAAATCTCATCCCGAACTATATCACAATGATCCTTTATAATTAGATTTCTTATTTTATGCCATTAAAGAACCGTAACTATTTCTTACCAACGACTTTTGAATACAATATAACAATTTTCTTTCTTCTCCCATATATTGAATATTGAAGTGTAAAAATGTCGCAACAAAACACTTCTATATTTTTTTCATTGTCAAATCGTCTTTATTTTGCACTACCCAAAAAAATTAATACAAATTATTTAAAATTTATTTGTTAACAAATCACTTTTTTTTGTAGGAAAAACAATAATAATAATAATAATTAAATAATGATCCCGAAAACTAATTAAAATCTCCATGAATGGTTTTCTCTTTCTTGTCTTCAATCTTTGTCAAGGACAGAAGTGACTTGAAGGTGTGAAAGGGTTGCAAAACACCCTACTTCCAAGAAGTCTAGATCTACGGACATTCCAATGAGTCTTGGCCTCTCTGGAACCATAAGCATTGCCTCTGCGCGAGAGTCGAAAAGGATAAACCGACAAGAGTCAAGGAGAATAAGATTTGCACACTCTCTTTCTCTCTCTCTCTTTCATTCTCTCTTATTCTCATCCATCGGCAAGCACCGGAGGGCTCGCAATTTTTCAGTGGGATTTATTAGAGCATCATTCTAAGGCTTTACGACGCACCTGGTCCGAGTCGATCCACTCATCTCGTCCTTTCTTCTTCTTCTTCTCTCTTTCTTCCAAAAGAATATTTCTTTCCTTGTTCCTCCTTCATCATCATTATCATTTTCTACCTTCATCTCCCATAGACCATATATAGACTCATTTTCTATAATCCTTCCCCCCCTTTTTCTGGACACTCGAAATTATTTCTTTCGCACATATGCGAGTTTTTAACAAATTAAAATTATTTTTCTAACGCAAAAAAGTATTTTCCGCTCATATCCTTTCTCGCGCATATATTATTGTATCATATATATATATGTTCTCTCTCGCTCGAAGATCTCATTCTTGCATCGAGAGGATCTTCGTCGACGACCTCTCTCGGCCTCAGCTAATTATTTTATTCTCACGCCAGGCCGTCAGAGTGCGCGTGCCTTTCATTAGACGCTTCCTCCGCCTCTGGCTCTCATCTTCAATCCGACACAAATTTTTAGGTTAAGTGCTCAATATTTTTTACAGGGTGTCAAACTTATTTGCAATGAGATATTTTTTTTCCAATTTCAAATACGAAAAATTCTATTTTAAAAAAATGTTTCCAATAAAGTATTTACCTTACTAATACAAATTCTCGTAGCTTCAAGGAGATTCTTTCAAACTAAATAGCCCTCGGAGATCCCTATATTTTCAAGTTAAATTTTCATTCGGAAAATGTGAAAAATAACAAAAAAGTTAATTAATTTCAATGAAATTTTCATTCCAAAAAACAAAATCCAATTCACATCTAGCGAATATTATTTTACCTATATAGAGCATTAATTTTTGAATGTCAAGATTATTTTCATTATAAATTCCCGAGGTAATTTTTACCTTTAAACCGAATCGAATTCTGAGTACATATTAAAAGCTTAAAAACTGCGCGCATATAGGTAGCAGAGCAGCAGTGCGAAAGCAAAAATGAAAAAAAAAAAGAAAAACGTGCCACAGTATAAAAGCGCGCGTATACCCCCAATGTCAAGCAATATCGCTCTCGCACGTCTCCGGATTTCAGAATGGGTTCTTGAGTTATTTAAATAAACCCTTTGTCGGTCAGTTCAGTCCATTTACTGAAGTACCAAAGTACTTTATAGCCACGCGCGTATATACACCGCGATATGCCGAATTATTATTTCTTTTATATATTTTTATTTATACTTTACGAATTTAATCTCCAAACCTGTCATAAATTCAATATTCCGCCATTTGTCAAAATTCACTCTATATCTAACAAATATAATTATTTTCCATGCCAGAAATTTTGGGTCCACACAGCTCCAAATTCGCATAAAACAGGGAACTCGATCGACGTCACAGAAAAATCCCTATTTCAGCCCTATTTCAATTAAAACCAGGGCCCGACCGGGACCTGGTTTGACCCTGGTTGAGTTCCCTGTTTCAACCTGGTCAGAGCCAGGTTGGCGAATTTCTGCATAGGTTAAAATAAAAAAATTTCTTTTTGAAACAGATTTTTCTTCTTAAATTCGAAATCACAGAGAATAAATATACTAAGAATATATTCTGTAAATTGAGAATATATATATATATTCTTATTTTAACAGTAAAATACGTATATACATAAATAAAAGAAATAAATTGACTTTTGACACGAATTTATCTTGAGCCAAATGAAAATAATAACCTTTTCACAAAGGAAATATTGGCGCCGCGCGGAGAGTGAAAGAAAAAAAAAAAATTCTTTAGATATTGGTTACTGTGCAAAAAATATAAGTGAAGAAATATTATTCTTGACAAGTCGGTAGCCCATGTAAGTTTCGTAATATACGTAACATAGGTACTTTGGATTTGCGCGGAACTTCCACCCATATATGAGATATGTTCTGCTCTTTGATCCCTTGTACAGAATATCTTGGAACCATCACACTCTCCTGCCACCCGCAAAAGTGGAATTCTTCAAGCATTGTATTTCTCATTTGTACTATATACATTCCAATACCATTCTTAAGTGGTCAATACTTTATAAACAGTTCTTCTTCTTCTTATTTTTTGAAAAGACTCGTTCCTTTCGTCATAAAAATTTTATACTCTCCGCGTATATGTCAAAAGGTCTTTTTAAATAGAGGAATAAAAAAAAAATCGATTTAAAAAAATACAATTAGTCTATTCAATCACTAGCAAAATTAAACGCGCGCCAAATTGAGAATTTAATTGTTTGTTATAAAGAAATTAAAGATTAATATTATCAATAATAATTTAATTTATTAGAATGTTATTACATATTAAATAATAATAATGAAAATTATATGTTTACAGGCCTCGGATTTATACGACTTTTATCGACTTAGTTTAATAAAATGCGACATTTTTTTTACATTTGAAAAAAAATGTAAATAAAATACATTTTTTTAGTATAAAATGTAGAACTTCTTCAGATCTACTTCAATTAAATTATTTAACAAATTTTGAACTAAAATGATTCTTCACTAAATTAATTATTTTTAATAATTTTAATGAAATACATCACAAATTCAATTATATCAAAATTATTTTTCAATTCAAATTTTTATGAAATTTAACAATTGTTTATAATTTGAAAACAAAAATATTACAATAAAATTGAATTATTTTTTAAAAATTTCAATTCAAAATAAACTAAAATTCAATTATTAACCCAAAATTTTAATTCAAAATCAATTAAAAATCCAATAATTATCCAAAATTTTCAATTTAAAATTTAATTATTTACCAAGTTTTCAATTTAAAATGAAATAAAATTCAATTATTTTCTAAAATTTCTATATTCAAAATTAATTATCCAAATTTTCAATCAAAAATGAACTT